GTTTTGGGCCTGTGGCAGCACAGTTCATCATGGCAGGTGTGCATGACTCAGGAAGCCCATTCACCTCATGGGGGAAGAGAGGGTAGGGCACGGTTCCTTGATCCCCTCCATGGATATGTCTCTATCCAGAAGACCTCCTTCTAGGCCCCACCTCTTCAGGTTTCCATCACCTTCCCATTGTGCCAAGCTGGAGAGTTCGCCTTGAACACATGGGCTCCTGTGGGACATCCCAGGTCCAAGCTCTTCCACCAGTCCTTGGCCTCAGCAGCCCTGGTAAGCAGGGCCTCTGCACCAGTGCTGCCCTGGGTCTCAACATGGAGCAGGGCTCTTGGATGACTCCCTGGGGATGTGACCCAAACCTTCCTGAGGTGTCTGGGACCTTGGAAATCAAATCTTGACAGGCAAAGTTCATACAAGGATTAGTTGCCAGTTGAAATAAGACAAAGAGAATGAGGGGGAACCCATGTGGATCACTCCTCTCCCCTCACTGTATGACAGTAGCCTTTTATCCTCCTTAGTTTATTCCATCACCACTGGCAAGAAAGGAGTTGAGGGTGTCCTCTACCCCTTCCTGGTCCTGGAGGTCACACTGGTTATTTTAGTCAGCTTTTTCATTATTGTGACTAAAAGACGTGACAAGAACAAGTACAGGAGGAAAGTTTATTTTGGAGTTCATAGTTTCAGAGGTCTCAGTTCATAGAAGGCTGACACCATTCCTCAGGGCTTGAGGTGAGGAAGAATATCAGGGTGAAATGGTGTGGTGGGGGAAAGTAGCTTAGGGCATTGCAATCAAGAAAAAGAAGGAGAAGGAGAAGGAGAAGATAGAAGAAGGAGAAGGAGGAGAAGGAGAAGGAGAAGATGGAAGAAGGAAAAGGAGGAGGAAGAAATGAGAGAGAGAGAGAGAGAGAGAGAGAGAGAGAGACTCTCTTCTTTAATAAAATATAAAATATATACTCCAAAGGCCCATTTCAATGACCCACCTACTCCAGCCACATCCTACCTGCCTTAAATTACCACCAGTTAATCTCTATCAAGAATTAATTCACAGATTGGGATAAGGCTGTCTCCACCCAATCATTTCACCTCTGAGCCTTCTTGCATTGTCTCAAAGATGAGCTTTTGTGGGATATCTCACATGCAAACCATAACACTGTTCAAATCTCCCCTGTGGCAACAGCAGAGGAGCAGGATCCTTGGCAGACTTCCTGAGGGTGTGACCCAAACATTCCTGAGGTGTCTGGGACTTATTTCAGTGGCACCCTTGTGTCCCTTGGTATGAATGTTCTCCTCAGGATATCAGGACCTCCTGTCTTGCAGAGCCCAGAGTGGGAGAGATGGGAAGTGCAAGATCCCCAGTGGGTAATCTAAGTGATGGTGAATGGAACCACTTAGTTTCTTTCTTTTGAGAGCACAGCACCATAGAGAGGTCTCTGATTCCATCAATACACTGTGTCCTAAAAGAAGTCACCTTGTCCTTTAGAGGGCTTCCCCAAAGCTTGTGCTCAGTGTGCCTTAGAAGGCCCATCCAGCATTGTGTGTGGCTGGAAGCCCCTGCATGGTGCAGACTGTGACAGGACCTGTCTGTCCCATGGTCATGGCTCATATCACAACTGGTTCTCTATGAGTGCTGTCATGGTCAGATATCAAATAAGAGCAATTTGGATCCTTTGGATGTGACATGATGACAGCCCTTCATAGTGGTGCATGCTTGCTGAGGGTCTGAGTCATAGAAGGAAAAACTGGCACATGAAATATATTTCTAGGATGATGAACCTTGTGCCCTTCTAGGATGCAACTGGCTCAGTGAAATAAATTTGTTGCTTAGTGTTTACTTATTGCATAAAGAAATAATGGTATCTCCAGGATCAGCATTGGCTCCTAATTTTGAGAAGTTGGATGTTGAGAGGTGGCAGCATCCGGATCACCCTTAGTAAGAGGAATCAGTTCTGCCAGGCTCAAATGTAGGATGCATCTCTGCCTTTGCTCCATTCATATGCCTATCATTCAAGTCCTGGGGGGGCCAGTAATAAACACAAATATGTTAGTCAGCTTTGTGTTACTCTCACAAAATACATTGTAAAAAGAGGAAGGGTTTATTTGGACTCGCTATTTCAAAATGTTGCTTTGGGGCCTGTTGTGAGGCAGAACATGAACGTGGGGAGCCCCTAGCAGAGAAAGCTTCTCCCATCATGGCATCCAGAAAGCAAAAAGAGAGACAGGAAGGAACCAGATCCCAACATCCCCTTCAAGGACACACACTCAATGTCTTAATTTACTTTAGTAGGACCCACCCCCTCAAGGTTCCACCATCTCCAGATAGTGTCAGGGGCTGGGGAAGAAGTCTGTAACTCATGTGCCATTGGGACACTCAAGACCAAATTGTAACAGTTGGATCCTGTCCATTGGTCTACTTGGCAGATCAGAGCCATTTCAGGGTGGATGTTTTCTGCATGTGATTCAGGCTCAAGCCCAGATGTACCATTTCCATGTGATGATGAACTGCCCCAGACCTGTACAGTGGTGGCCTAGTGAGATTCACAGAACCCAGTCCATGTTGGCTCTTGTCATTCCAGTGTTCTTTAGTGTCCCATGATCAAACATTCTTCTTCACCAGGCCTAGCAACACATCAAAGCTGATTACTGAGAAGGCACATTTCTGTGTGTGGAAGACATGGCCTCCCTCAGACCCCACGACCTTTGATAGTATTTCTCCCCCTGTGCTTGATTCAGCTCCATCCTGCACCTCTCACACACTGACGCTCCCATATCTGCAGAGTCTGAGGGGTGAAGAACCATGCCCTGAACTGTTTCAGTGTCCATTCCTGTCCAGGTCCCACATGAAGCTGGCCTATTATGTCACCAAATATGTGGCACAAACACTGTGCCTCAGTGTGGAAGGTGATATTGTCAGAACCCAAAGAGGCCCAGGCCTCCTGCTTCCTTCTCTGCAGTGAGAGGTGCCAGGTGCAGCAGCTGGTCCTATACCATGGAGGGGACATCTCTGCTTGTCTTTAATAGCTGGACCCCTAAATCACAATGAAAGGGCCACTCCTGAATCTCTGAACATTTTATCTTCCACTTTCTGAGGTACGTGTGCCTCATCAAGAGCTCCAGGGCACTTTCCCCTCTTGTTCATCCATCCCAGGCAGCATGACGTGGGATGAAATGAACTGACTTCATATTCTATGGGATGTGCATCCAGTCCAGACTCTTAACACTGCATCACAGAGGGAGGGATGGTGAGGCTGTGGGTATGAGGTGTTGGTGCCAACTCAATCCCAGAGCATGACACTCCCCAGCCTCATGCCTGTTTCCCACTCCCCATTAACTCTCCTGAGTTGGTGATGGTTCCTTGGCAGAAGGACTCAGGAAATCATGGCCACATGTCCTTGTCATGGTGTCCTGGGCTCTTTCTTCCCTGGATGTGGACACCTCTTCAGTCACTGGGTTCTGAATCTGAACATCAGCTCAGATATGGAAATTGAGAATGGAATCAAGACTTCTTTTTGGTTCAAGTACCTTCAGCCTCCTGCTCTCCACTTTTGTGTTAATTGCTGATAYTGAGAAGGGCATTTGTTGGTCACCATCTGTTTGACCCTAAGAACACCACTCTCCCTGAACCTTCCCAACCCCCTTACAAATCAGAGCACCCCTGACTGCTGCTCTGGGGTTGCTGTGGTGGGCAYACCCTCTGGTCAGTGCTGGTTATCTGCCACCACTTGGTCTCAAGTATTTTTAGGGCCAGACCCTCCCCATGAATATGAATGAGCCCCCTTTCCTACCCTCATCCCAGCCTGAAAAGGAAAACACTTTCTTAGTGAAGCAGGCCCTTGTTACCAGCATATTCCTGTGGGTTTTGGTGAAAGTGTCCTCTGGGACAYTGGAATTCAATGCTCTGTTGTGTCTTGTGGCCTCTTCCTTCAGCCTCTGTATTCCATCCTCCATTGTCTTCTTGAGCATCTAAGTTGTGTCCACTGGCTGGACATCAGTTTTTCCTGTCTTCACAGAGGTCACAGAACCACAGAAACTACCACAACCCAAGTGGCTTTATGTAGCTCCATTTATGACCTCACAGTTACATAGTTCCAAGTCCCCCGTGGGGCTCACAGGGCTAAGGTCAAGGTGTCAGCTGGTCTTTGTTCCTTAATGGAGACTCTGTTGAGGATTTTGCTTCCAGGATCAATATGGTTATTTTGAGAATTCGGTCCCTATCTCCTTGCTGACTGTCATGAAGGAGCCACTTTTAGCTCCTGGAGCCCTCWCCCAGGTCCTCATATGTGCCCTCTATAGCACGTCTYATCCTTCTTCCATTAGAACCTCTGATGTCCTCTCTGCTGAATCTCCTCCACCTGCCTCTCTTGTAGCACATCCTTGACTCCAGCCAGAGGAGGGTCTCAGCTTGAATGATGCACTGTGATTGTCTACCCAGGACAATCTCCCCAATTTCAGATGTTCACCTTAGTTACATCAGTAATGTCCCTTCTGCCATGTGATACAACTTCTTAACTCTTCCAAGGATTAGGGCCTGGGAAACTTTAGGGACTATTCTTCAGTCCCTGCACCTTCTTGTGCTGAAATCARTGAGGAGCAAGGAGATAGCACTTCTGAGAGGGTGATGGAAAGGAAGGAGCCAGGAGTGCAGAGGTGGGGAAATTGCTTGGGGTCCCTGGGCGTGCCTCCCATGAGGGGAGTGCCTACCATCTCATGACAGGCTAGGGGATAATGGGAAGGGGAGCAGAATGGTCTGAGAACCTCAGTRTGGAGCAAGGACCCCTACCCACCTGCTGGACCAGGTGTACATGATACCCATGGAATCCCCCTGGGAGGGGACTTCAGAGACCAGGTTTCTGTTAGAGCTGGGAGGCAAGGACATCTTGAGAGGACTTTGATAGTTTGTTTTTTATGAGTTGAGAATTACAGGGGGTACCATAGGAAAATTCCAGGATTTGGTGAGAGGGTGTGAGAGGAGACAGAACAGGAATGTGCAGAGCCTTGTGAGGATGACAGTGCAGGACATTGAAGGGGACCTAGCATGGCTAACCAAACAGGAGAAGGACACAGGAGGTTTGTCCTGGTGGATTCAAGACAGACAGTGAGGTGGGCTGGGAGAGGGGCAGCTATGGGGGCAGGTGGGTCTGAGCCTTTTCTCTGTGGGTGAAGATGAGATGTGAGTTGTTTTGTCTTGGTGCCACTGTGGAACCTTTCTTGCCCCCTGATCATCAGGTGGAGTGTCTGAGGGTGGAGGTTGGCTAGGCTGTGCATAATTCATACCTGAACTGAGGAGAGTTGGGTGCTCACCCCCAGGCTCAGGTCTGCTGACCCCTGCTGTTGGAGGTGCCATTTCTGTATAACATATGAGACCCTGACACAGAGTCCTGTTATGTCCTGCTAAGAGGGACAGAGGCCAGGGGAAACAGAGGCTGTGACCTTGCCCTGATAGTCCTAGTGTACATATCTTTTAGGTGGGAAGTGATTTACTCTTCCCAAGTAAGAGACCATTTTTCTTTAAAAACCTTAGTGAATACAAAAATGTATTTCTAAAAAGTGAAAAATAGAGAGAGAATGTTTCTACTTTTGTCTTGGTCTCAAGGGAACCAGGGTTGCAACTTTAAATGGGATCCTCAGAGAGAGTCAAAGGCCCCCATCATGCTTCCAAATGCAAAGCATATGGTAGGTAATTAGGCAAATTTTATACTCCTTGACATTGGATAATATTAGGAGTTCATAGTAATTTCCTTTAGTGTCATAACCATATTATTATTGAAAGAAAAATGTCATTTCCTAAGAGATGAGCACAGATTTACTTAGGAATGAATGTCACAATGATGGATTTTTCTAGTGTTTCAGCAAGAATTATACAACTATAATTTCTTGCATCCTAAACAAACGTGACAAAATACTGAACTAATTAGGTCCAGAGTCACCATTGTACTATTCTTTCAGAGTTTGGAAAGTTTGATCTTTCTCATGTAATCTGAAGATTATTTAATACTTCCTAACAACATGGGGAATGTTCACAATATGATGCTGGACAAAAACGAAGTTTCAAGTGTACATGTGAGTGAGCCTGAATGGTAGCATACAGCTGTAAACCCAGCTACTCTGCAGGCTAAGGCAGGAGGATGGCAAGTTCAAGGCCAACCTGGGCAACTTAGTCACACACTGTCTCAAAATTGATATTTAAAAGACAGTGTAGCTCTGTGGTACAGCACCACTGGGTTTAAGTGTTAGTACAAAAAAAAAAAAAAAGTCTGTGTTTTGAGAATGCCTCAGTTGAGGGTGTATCAGCATTTGTCAGCTTCACATAGTCTGCTCCCAGTGTGCACTAATCTATAATCCCTAGGATAAGGGAGCAAGGTACAGTGGGGGACACCAAGAGACATCTCCAGGTAAGCCCTGTCTGCACCCACCACCCCTCCCAGGACCCTTTGCTCCCCTAGAAGGTCAACCACAGGAAAAAGATGGAGGGGCCCGTAGGCTTTAGCCTTCACCCCCCAATCCTTCCTCTGCCAGTTATTGCCTGAGCTTCCTCCCTCCACTGCAACCACAATCCCCCTAGAGCTAAGCACAGGAGGTTCCATATGTGGAATCCACTCCTCATTTCAGACCTGGGAAGCAATTCCAAGACAGCTGTCCTCCCTGGTGACTGCCACTGTGTGAAGCCCGAAGGCATCGCCCACGTTGGCTGGGTTCTCTCTAGGATCCTGGCATTGCCCAAATAGTCTTGAAACTCCTTATATCACAAATTCAATCTCATTCTTTACACTTGCTCCTCTGACAATTCACAGGGGAAAACTGAGACCCAAAGAAGGAGATATGCTCGGTCATTTCCCAGGACCTGTGGACAATATGGCAAAAATATGGCAGATTTCAAATGCGTTTTGAGAAAAATGTAACAGGGTCCCTTGTGTCTCCACTCAATTTTTCTTTTCCCCCACCCTCTACTGGTGGGATTTGGACTTTTGCACTCTATTTTGCATTTATGATCATATTTATTACATGTCTGTCTACTAAAAACGTATCCCTTTGGGGTCTGGGGTGTAGCTCAGGGGTAAAGCACTTGCTTAGCTGCCTGAAGCACAGGGTTTCATCCTCAATGCCACAGAAATGAAATTTTAAAAATAAAAGTATCAATCAGAATGAATTAGACATTACTTTCCTGGGTTCATATATGAATATACAACCAGTATAACTCCACAACATGTATAATCACAAGAATATGATAAGTTATATGCTATGTATGTATAATATGTCAAAATATATTCCACTGTCGTGTAAAACTAAAAATAATAAAACTGAAAAAAAAACAAATAAAAGTCTCATTTTCAAAAGTAATTGAGGGAAGATCCAATGCTATGAAAATATGAAGACTTATTCTAAGACAGAACTTCTAGTGCTGGATTATAATTAATATTTTGCTTTTTAAAAACAGTATTATCTTGAGTCTGGCACTTAGTTTATTGTATTTTAAACCAAAAATATTCTTCCTGACACCTTATACAAATTCCAGTTTATACTAGAAGATACAATTCCTGAAATTCACAGAACATAAAAGGCACTGTTTTCCCAATCCCTGGAGAAACCATTGTCAGACTGTTCAAGGCAATCATCTAGTTTTTCCCTCTATTATAAATATATATTATTTAAGTGGCGGCATTTAATCCAGTATTTTCCTACCTTTTAAAAAATCCTAAAATATGTTGGGCAACTCTTTTCACAGCAATACTTTTAAATGTATTTTTCTCATTTTAATGGCTACCTAGAATTCTATTGCATAGATTTACTTTGGGGGATGATGGGAATGTTCTTCATCTTCATTCACTAGTGGTGACACAAGCATGTATGAGTACCCAAACGCAAGGAGCTGTACATTTCTAAATATGCATTTTATTGTATGTGAACTATGGATTAGTAGAGTTGGTCTAAGAAGAATGGTACCTCTTTGAAATTTTTATTTTGGTTCTGCAAAAAGAAAATAAAAGAAACCCATGTTTTTAAGAGATAGACCCAGACATCTCTGGAGGTAAAGAGATGGTGGACTGGGCCTGGTAGCAAACACGTGAACAATCCCAGCAGCTCACAAAGCTGAGGCAGGAGGACTGCAGGTTCAAAGCCAGCCTCAGCAATTTAGCAAGGCCCTAAGCAATGTAGTAAGACCATGCTCCAAATAAATAAATAAATACATAAATACATAAATAAATACATAAATAAATAAATAAACAAAGAAAGAAGCATGGTGGCTCACACCTCTAATAGCAGCAGCTCAGGAGACTGGGTCAGGAACATCATGAGTTGAAAGCCAACCTCAGCAACAGTGAGGCACTATGCAACTCAGTGAGACCCTCTCTCTAAAAGAATATAAAATAGGACTGGGGATGTGCTTAGTGGTTTAGTGCCCCCTGAGTTCAATCCCAGGTATCATTCCCCCAAAAAAGTTTAAAAAGACTGGAAATTTGGCTCAGTGGTTAAGCATCTGGGTTCAATCCTCCATAACAACAACAAGAGAGAGAGAGTGTGAGAGAGTGTGTTATGGTGTCTCACCTTATTGTCCAAAATCACAGCAATCTTAAGAAAAGCCATATGTTTATCTAGGGGTGGAGGAAGAGAACAATGGTGACAAAATGTTCACAAAAGATGTCCTTAGATTAAGGGTAAAAATAAAAGCTAGAAATAATAAAATACATGTTTGCTTTCTATCTGAGAATCAGCATATTCTTCCAGGATAGGAGGAGCCATATCTCCTACTTTGACCACTAAATTCACTGATGTTTGCATCTCTCATTGCATTGTAGCAGGGAGCTCAACACATCCTTTATGCTCTTTGTTGCTGTGATATCATTGGTACTATGAGACCTGCTTCCAGGTCTGGCTATTTAATGTGTCAAGAAATTTATTTAAAAAGATATTTTAGTATTTTCAATCATTTATTGTATTTTATTTATTTATTACATTTGGATACAATCAAATTCTAAATTGAGACTGGATGTTCATTTTTATTTCATATCAGAATTTAACCTTCTTTTTAAAAAGAGAAAGTACTTTTGTAGATACTTGTTTTTGTGGTGCTGGGGATTGGGCTAAGGGAGGGCGGAGCTCATACATGTTAGGCAAACACATTACACTTGGTTACATTCCCAGCCCTCTATGCTTGATCTTCAAGGTAGGGAAAGTCTGCATGCCTGAAACACAAACTTTCTGGATTTGTGGGTATTTGATTGAACTCAGGGCCTGGTTCAGGCTATGGAGGTAATCTACCATTGAGCTATGGACTCAGCCCTGAAATAAATACATTCTAAATATGTTTTAAAAACTTCTTGGGATCATAATCAGAGTTCTATTACCCTTCCTTACATTTCTTTTTGGCTTAATATATATCTATATCTATCAATATATATATTTTTGGAGGTACTAGGGATTAACTCTGAGGCACTTTATTGCTCAGTACACCCCCCCCCAGCCCTTTTTATTATTTTTGAGAAAGTGTCTCACTAAGTTGCAAAAGGCCTCTCAAGTTGCTGAGGCTGGTCTTGAATTTGGTGATCCTCCTGCCTCAGCCTCCCACATCACTGGTATTATAGGCTTGTGCCATCACTGCCCGCTGGTTTTTGTTTTTACTATGATAAATGGAGGAAGGTTGTAGTTCTTTCTGTAGTGGAGGTTGTGGGGTCTCTAGGGCTCATCCTGCTCTGGAATCTTAAGGGGGTGATGTAGACAGCAGAGCCACAGACTTCCAGACATTCCAAGCTCTACATCTTTTTCCCCTTTCTGTTATTCTTGTTTTTTAAATTCTTATCCCCTCCCCCCATATCTTCCTCTCTTCTTTCTTCAGTATTTCAAGCATTCTCTCCACAGCCCTCTTTTCTCCATACTCTCCCTTCCATTTCATCTTTATTGAAGCCTGGTGGCCAACACTAGGGACTGCATCCACCTGGGACAGGCCAAGGTAAGGGGGGGGTGGGGACACAAGGCAGGGCTCCTCTCCAGGCTGTCCAAACTTTGAGAGAATTTTTCTTGGAATTAGTCTTTATTTTTCTCTGGGGGGTTTCAATCAGTACCACCCTGAGGAGGGAATTCCATGAATGGCAGGAAACTGAGCCCTAGAAAGTGGCTTCTGATCTTAGAACCCAAAGGCGAGTCCCTGCCCCCTGCAGGGGGAAGGGATAAAGGAATCTTGTCTGTACACTCAGGCCACCATCCCAGTGGATGCTGGACCCTGGGCGTCCCCCAGCCACCGGGTCTGCATTCTCAGAGCAGGCAGGAGTAACTGCCCTGCAGATCGAGAAGTGGAAACCCAGATGCAGCCTGCCAGCCTCCCTCCAGGCACCTATAAGCACTTTCAATTTGCTTTTTTGTCAACCAACAGTTTTTATTGTCTTGGGTCAAAGTGGGAGTGACATGTGATTTTCAGCGATCCCAGTAAAGTTTGGCTTCACAAACTTCAAACCCTGCCAAACTGGGCAAGAGACAGCCCTGGCTTACGTAAGTCAGAGCTGGGTGGTTTCAGTTTCTATTCAGGAACTCAGCTGTGGCGCCCAAGGTCAACACAGAGAAAGTCCCTCATATTCTTGTGAGTCCAGGGGTGCAAAGGGGAAAGTGGTGGGAGAGGGGGTGTTTATGAAAGGCTTCAATAAAAATGGGGGTTTGGAGGAAGGGGAGGTGCAGAAGTGCTTTGCACAAAAGACTACCTGAGAGTCTTGGTGAGGAAGGAACAGCCAGGACTAGGTCCTCTCAGAGCCCAAGACCTAGAAGCCTTTTTCCTTGCAGTCATATGTAAATGCCCTGGAGCAAACCTAGCATGTAACTATTAGGTAGTAAGTCTTTTGGAGGAATGAGCAGAATAATACTTGGAGCTGCCCACCTAAGAAGTCCTGGAAGGAGGGAAGATGACAGGGAGGAAAGGGCTTGGGACCAGCTGTCAAGAGAGCTGTGTTTCCTTTCCTACTCTGCATCACCACCATCGTTGTGACCTTCATTAATAAAAATAGCCTCTCAGAAAGGAGACTGAACCCTAATCCTTTAATCCATCCTGTGCTAAAAATTATTATCACAGTCAATAAAAAGGAAAATAAGTCTAAGAGCTTGTCAAAACATCTTCATCAATGAGCTTTCCACCCACAGAAAAGGTATAGAGGACAGCCTTAGGGAATAGTTAGGGTTCATTTTTATAAAGGCATTTTTAGGGAAGACAAAGAGAAATGAACAATTTCCAATCCTGGGGTGGTTTGCAGTCCACTGGGGAATGTCATGGATGGTAAGAAGGGTTTAGGAGAAGGCATAGTTAGGACCATCATGTGCTGGGACTCTGGTTCTGAAACTTACCTACATACTCACAACACCTAGGGAACTTTAAAAGACACTGCAGCCTGGTTCCCACCTAGCTTTACCTATTGAATAGGTTTTGGCTGTGGCCCAGGCACAAGGACTCTGCAGGTGGTTCTGCAGGTGGTCAAGGACTCTGCAGGTGGTTCTCCTAAGCAATCAAGGTAGAGAACAACTAACTCCATGTTGGAAAGACCAAGAGATGTATGTTGGGGACAAGGCAAACTTCCAGCACAAGGAGGTTTCCATAGCATGGTTATTACTATTACTACTGAGATATAATTCATTTACCAGAAGTCGGACTTTGAAAGTGTGCAACTCAGTGGGTTTTAGTATAATCATAAAGTTATGCCACCATCACCACTGTGTTCATGTGATTATTTTAAGGATGTGGAGAGGTCTGATGTTTAGAAGGCAAAGGCAGGAGCATTCCCCAGCTTTGCAATAGCATCCTGTTGAGACGGGGTAAGGAGATCAGGGCAGCTTGATTTGACCTCAGCCTAGGAGAGATGTGACCAGAGAAATGAGGGGAAAGGGTGATGCTAGACAGCAGATTGTGGCATCTGTAGGGTTTAATGGGAGAGTAGAGGTATCCTGTGTTAAAATGAGCAGATGCAGCAGCTGTGTATTGGCTTGGGGCATTATGGTGACAATTGGAGATAGACACAGTATTTATGAAGAAGCATTTGCAGTATTTTTGGATGAAGGTAGTTGAAAGTTTGGACTAAGGTAGTGACTGTGGAGATGTAAAAGGGTTTCAGGAGCTAGAGAAGCAGGGGAAAGGGTCAATCAGAAGTGACCAAGGGGATGCTTTTAAGAGAAGTAGGTAGGTGGTGGGGGTCTGTAGTGGTTGGAGAAGTGTAGTGTGGGCTTCTTGATCTGTTTGATTTGAGGGCCAAATGGGCCCAGAAATGCAGATGCACTAAGTGAAACTGGTCGGTGTTGGACTGGCCCATAAGGAGCAGTCTGATGGGGCTCATGAAGTGCCTGGGAGAGCTAGGGCAGTGACAGGATGTGGGCAGAGGAAACTAAACCTGGCTGGATCTTGGAGTCAATGGCAGGAGAAAGAGCAGATTAGAATGGCTGAAATGTCTAAGGGTGTTTGGAGCCTGATGGATTTTTGGGTGAAAGGTGTTTCTTCGAGCAGAGGTGGCTGAAATCTGCAAAGAGCTCTTGTAATCTCTTTGTAATTCAGGGCTCCTGAATTGGGGGGAGAAGTGCAGGGCCAGATGCAGCTCCTTTGCCAGCAAGGTTGTACTTGATTGAGGGCAGTGTGTGGGGAGAGTAAAAAGTCTTGGCTCTTCCAGAAGTGTGCCAAGCAAGGAACAAGCTAGAACCGGCCACATGGGGTGATGTGCTACAGGAGCTTGGGGAGACCCATGCTTCTCTGTGGGCTGAATTCCACTAGGTTCCCAGAGATGTGGCAGTGTTTCTAAGGTTGAGCCATGGCAGTTGCTCAGAATCTGACCCTACAGCATTCACCTAGCTGCCCTTATTCTATCTTACCTGGGGAATCCTAAATCAGAGGCATTTTCCTGGAGGTTAAGGCAAGTGTGACATAGTGGCTATTTCCCCCTGTCTTTGGAGTAGTTTAGCCTTCATCCTGTGCTTGAAGGGAAGTTCTCCTTTAAGCGTAGCTCCTCCCTCTCTGCTCCTGATTGGTCTTGTCAGGCATCAATCCTTGTAGCGTGAGTGTTTATTGAGACACCTGCTGTGTGCATGCCACCAGTGTGGCTCCCTTGCAGGAAACTGTCAGGCGGCCTCTCTCTGCTGATCACTTAGGAGAATGGCAGACCCTATGAGACTGGGCTCCCTGCTGCTCCTGGTGGGCACTGCTCTTTGCGCACCTCTGGGTTCCGCAGTTGGTGAGTGGGCTCATGGTGGTTCTTCAAAGCGGGAGATGCCAGGCGAATCCAAGGAGTCTCTACCCGGCTTGGCGGGCTCTGGAATTGGGGGGAGAAGTGCGGGGCCGGACACAGCTCCTTTGCCACAAAATCTCAGCTCCTCTTTTCAGGGCATACCCCACCACCTCCTCCCGCATCTGCATCCCTGCTGCACCTTGCTTCCCTCCCTCCCCTCCCAGCCTTGCCCTTCCTTTCGAACAGCCCGGTTCTTCCAAGGCCTCTGAGTCCCTTCTCTGCCTCCTGCTTTGATCTTTGAGAGAGACTCAACTCCCTTAGAGGTCTGCCTTTCAGGGGACCACTTTATCAAAATTAATAGATTTTGAGACAGTTTCCGGCCCCCCACCCCCAAGCCCTGTTCTCTTCTGGAGTCAGCAGCGCGCTCCTGAGGAGCGCTCAGTATCTGGAGTTAGGGGTCTTCCTCTCTCCTTTCTGTTGCTGTGGACACTGTGGTTTCTCTAGTCAGACTGAGGGAGGTTAGAAGCTGARGACTTCTGGGCCAAGAGATTCTTCCTGTGACTTCTCTCATCTCCACCCTCAAGGACCCCTGCTCTCCTGCAGCCTGGGGGGGGGCGGGGTTTTCTCCCTCCTGCACCCCGCTTTACCCTAATATGAACTCCATTGTTCCACCACATCTCTCCGTGCCTCCTCAGCTGCCTGTCTCACACCTGTCACCCAGTCCGGTTGCCCTCCCCCTCCCTGCTCTCACCTCCAGACAGTAGTTCTTTGATTCATTTTCTAAGAGATATATGACCGGACTTGTCTCTCTCACCAGGCAGGCCCTTCCTCCTTCCCTGTGAGTCATTTATTGACCACAAGGAGCAATGCTGCTGTAAAAACCTGCCCCCTCCTTCGCAGACCCCTACCTTTGCTTTTTAAAACAAACAAAAAACTTTTAATTGGACTGTTTTTCTCAATTTTTCTCCTCCTCCTCCTCTTCCTCCTCCTCTTCCTCATTTGGTGTTGAACAACTTATTTTAATGAATTTGTCTTTTAATACAATTGTAAAAAAAAAGATTTCTACCATTTTAATTACAGTTAAATCTAAATTTTAAAACTAATAGTTAATAACAAGTTGATTTTTAAGTTTTTAACTATAAGGATATCAAATATAATACAGAACTTAATTCAATGCTATTGCAACATTCAAATAAACTTCTTAGCATTCCAAGAGAATCAAATTGCTCCTCCAACACACACACACACACACACACACACACACACACAAACACACACACAAATCATTTCTCTTAAGCAAGTATAGTACCTGCTGGTGTTGACAGTTGTTAAAAGTTAAAAGCAGAGTCACTTTCAGCTTGAATATGATTTGAGTACTTAAGCCATCTAAAAGTTCTACCTGATACAGGGAGTAGGCTCATAGTCTTGGCATCTGAAATCATGTCACAGAGTTTGAATGTTAGACATGTACTTTTAAAGATAAAAGATAAAGAAACTCTAGCGCCGTTTAGTACCTTTTCTTGTATGTTTTTTATTTGCCAATAAGAAATTAGATTTAATGTTATCATTCTTCAATCAAATAAGACGACCATAAGATTTCTGTTAATCTGTTTCTTAGTGGATTACTGTCAAATGTGCTCAGACAATTCTTATCAGAGCTGAACATTTTCACATGAAGCTAATCAGTTTTTGCTTAAAATAAAATTAATGATACATGTACATGTAGATTAAAACTAAACATAACCATTTGTAATCTAACATGGAACATTTAAACAAAAAAAACCTGAGAAAGCCACTAGAAAGGAGGCATGGAAGAAAAAAATTAAATAGAGATTATGCATTTTTTTAAATCACTAAGACAACTGCTACCAATGTTACCAATGTTTCGGAACAACTAAGTTCAGAAAGAACATATGAAATGTGAAAATTTTCTCTACAGGTGAAATAAATGTGTTTTAAGGAGAGAGAAGGGGATAGAGAATGTGCAAATTATAATTCTGAAAAACTACAAATTTTCAAAAAGTACCAAACATGGAATTAATAATTTATCAAAAATTGCACCCACCCCTGATTTTCTTTTGAGGGAAAAATAAAAACAGTTTTTGAAGGGAATGAAACAGACTTCAAATTGAAAATCATTCTAACAATAATGTGTTTTTACTGAAAAATACTATTAGAGATAAAATTAAGTTAAATTTCAGGTACTTTCCATTTAATGTGGGCAAAATTACAATGTTTATATAGCAAATATAAACTAATAATTTATATTCATTTATAATATAATTTTTTAGGAAAAGTTTACTGTCCTCAGTTCTCAAAAATAAGAAGAAATTTTAATTTTTTAACCAGTTAATTTTCCATATCTAGGATCTATTATGGTAATGTAAAA